TTCATTGATATAAAACTGAAGAACACTTAAACAGTCACATATTCTGTGTAGTTGAGCACAATCTTTGGTTGGCCTTGATTATTCAACAGTTACCAATGTTGTTTTTCCTGATCAATCTAAATGTTTGGAGAGAATTGCTTTCTTTTTTCCTTTTGTGAAGATCTTTTTCCAACATGTCTACGCGTGGTTGGATAAATGTTCTGGAAAACATCTGCTCTGAATTGCCACCGCATAAAAAATATATTTAAAGGAAAAAATAAACCTAACATCACAGGAGAATGATGGATAGATAAATACTCAATCTATACCCAAGAAGAGCAGGTGGTAGTCATGGCTAGGAGGACCTTTGCTCAACTTCATACTGTATGCCAGATGTGCCTGTTCCTAGATTAAGAAGCATCACTCATGGTCACTCATACCCTAGTCACCTCCTGGTTGGATTACTGTAATGCGCTCCACATGGGCAACAGGCTCTACATGTCTTGAAATGTATCTGGAACATTCATCTGGTCCAAAATGCAGCAGCGCAGGCAGTTATGTTCCAGAAGAACACATTACACCTCTGCTTCACAAGCTAAATAGGTTTCCAGTCTGTTTCTGGGTCCAAAGCGAGGTGCTGTTTTTTACCTTTAAAGTCCTGCATGACACAGGATTGAGTTATCTGAGGGACTGCCTATCCTGATTACACCTGTCCATCCTACCAGATCCAGCAGAAAGAGCATGCTGTGAGTCCTGTCAGCTAGGGAACTACATTTGGTGGGTCATTGTTGAAGTGTGCTTATAAATGTTAATTTGATTACTTCGTTTATTTGCATCTAGCAACACTTTTTATTTTCTTCTGACTCTTATAAAACTCATAAAATATAAAATGTAAATATAACATATACATATGTAATTATACTGTAGTGTCTTACCTTTACAAATCCATTGAGTAAGTAAAAATGGGTAAACAGTGATAGGAAAAACCCAGCTACATGTCACCAAATATAAACTCATATAAGAAAAACTTCCCTGATTAAACGTGCTTCTAATTATTTTACTTTTTAAATTTCAGTCAGGATTTCATGAAATGATGCATACTAATTTTATCCCTTTTTCAATAAGCAAAGAGATTAAATGCTTTTAAGATCAGTATTAGTTTTATGCAACAGCAAATTAGCAATTATTTAGTTCCACAAAGTATTTTACTTCTATGATAATCTATTTTTTTCTAAATGTTTTTATTCTGATCTGATCTGATCTATTCTAACCCACAACTGAGATGGGACTGATGAGTTTTCCTGATTACTTCTTATATTCCCTTGAAATAACTCCTTCTTTATGACAAAAGCAACAGTGCAGATGGATTCAGTTAAAAGATTTAAAACAGATATTGGCTGCATTCTAACTAAAGCTAAATAAGCCCATAATTTCCACTTGGAAATGATATCTTGCTTTTTTTTCTCATAAGATTAGGCTTCCATTATTCAAACAAAGAATGACACAAGAAATGAGATCTTCTTGCCCTCCTAATGCTACTTTAAAGAGGTGCTCTTTCAAAAGTTTGTATTTCCCTCAGAAACAGCTCGGCAGCTACCGCAAGTGCTAGTGCAGCTTTTCTTGCTGCAATTGACTGCTAGTTACTCTGAGTATTATATTTGTTGAAAGTTCAGGTTTAATATTTGAGTGACAGTTTATTAAACAAGTTTCTAATAACATTTATTAGATGAACTTTAAAAAGGCTAACTGCCAAACCATCAAAGTAAACTAGTTTTCTTCACTGATTCTCTTATTATGTTTATAACTCTTATGAAAGATAGGATGAAATATTTTGGTAGCAGAGAAAGATTAAAAAGGGGGAGGGGATCTCATGTCCATGACTCAAGAGATACTAGCCTAAGCCACATAAAATTGTTCTTGCTCAGTTCATAGGAATACATTTCTAAATCCAGGGGTGTCAAACTCGTGGCCCGCGAGCCAGATGCATCATGCGCTAGCCACATCCAAGCCCGGTTTAGTGAAGGGGGAAAAAAGTCACGATACATCACATGACAACACCGTGACGACACGAGTTTGACACTCATGTTTTAACCCTTTCCAGGAAAGCAAAGATTCAGAACAAATTTTACTTTCTTGAAGCCAACAAGTATTTACTTCAACATATCAAAAAAGTAAAAATATTCTTAATCCTTTTAAGGATTATGGACTGTTGTGGCCTATTTAAACATTCATTGAAAACGCAGCACAAAAGAGTGTCAGCAGACATTCTTAGGACCTTTGAGATATTTACGTGAAATACTAAATGTTGCAGCATATGCAAACTTATAACTAGTCAAGCAAGTTTTCTTTCAAATTAAAAAGAGATATGATTGGACTGAAAGATACCCAGTCATTAGTTCAGCATCTTTTTCTAACTGTTTAACATAATAGCTATGACGATAAGAAAGATAATACAAATGGACCATTTATACAGACCGTTTTCTATATAAAGCACAGTATACAATATTGTATCTGTTCCTAGCTCTCCAAGATCATGTTTCAACAACAGCTGCAAGCAATGATGGTGGTGAATGAGAAAGGACAGACATTAAAACATTAAAGACAGAAAAAAATATTTGTCCTGCTATAAACCTAAAAGGTAGATGACAACTGAGCAGTATTCACAAGGCATTGACTTGATTATAAATCCTAAAAAGAAGTAGTTTTTGCAAAAAATAGGAAATCCCACAGCATTTTATTAATGAGTTAAATACATATTTGTTCTGTTAGCTCAGATTTTAGGAAAGCCTTCACGTATTGTAAATGAAGATGGAAAATATGATGCATAGTTTTCTCTAAATTTTGAATAAAGCTACAGCATGCAAGAATGAAACAGGAATATTATAAAAAGGCACCAGTATTCCTAAAACAAAGATTTTTTATAATGCCAGGCCTGCTTAGCCTTCTCCTTCAGGCAAGTTGGCAAGACTTTCAGAATCAAAGAATAGTTTTCCCATGGCTTATGCAGTAAGAATTCACCATGAGTCACTATTCTCAATTTGCTTCAGTTTATAACCTAAGAGGCAGAATGATCTAGACAGCAGTCTGTGTCAAACTTCCTTAGCCCAGTTCCTTTCCAGAACTCTGTAGTTGCACTCTAGCACATTGGGAGAGAGCTTGGGTTTGAGAAAAGTTGGCCTGTCCAACTACTATTCAATTTACACAATATGGTCTTCAAGACCATCACTGTTTATTCAATGGACTTAGCAGCTTTAGTAGTGACTACATTTTTTGCATCTGTTGAAAGCCAAATGGACAATTAGTTCTAAAGACACCCTACTTCTCTTGACCAAGAAAGCAAGCCAAGTTCCCTCCCTCTTTCAAAGAAGTCCCACAAGGCACTTTATTTCTTCAGTTTCTAATCCAAAGCCAAAGTTGAAAGGATGTATTTGTCTCAATCTTCTGTGCAAACAAGAACATAATTATCTAATCGGAAATAGCTTAGCAGTTTGAAATTCACTGTGGCTGTCAGCGGTGAACCTATCTGAACAAGTTTCAACAATGACTTGGCTGGTTAATCTGGGCAAGTTAAAAGCCAAAATAAAAAGTACTGGGAAAAATGCCTAAAATTACAAATAAAAATAAAAATAGTGCCAATTGGATTTGATCATCTTGATTGGGCATAACAAAGACAATTGCAGAGGGGGAGCTATGGTCAGCAAGAATAGTTTGTGTTAGAACCAGGTTACTGTAGCAAACAAGATCAGCAATAACATAACTAAGCCTTGCCCAATGAGGTGCTCCCTAAAGATGTTGGCCTACAGTTCCAAAGATGATACGGCTTCTTGGTTGAAAAGATCTTATCAGCCCTTTTCAAGCTGTATTGCTAATATTTGAACTATTGTTCTTTTTAATATATATGAAACTTAAAAAGAACCATTCTTCAATTCATGTGTTGAATCTGAAGCTTAGGTCTTTAAAGACATGTGCATATATGTAAACAATCTCCCATCCAACCAACACATACACCATATACATTTTGTTCAGGCAACTTCCATTTCTGGAAATCTTGAAAAATGACTCCCTCCGTACAATTGTTCAATCCCATTCATTCTAATCAGATTATGAATGGAAGGGACAGATGCTTTGTTTGGAAAGCACCAGCTTTTGTGATAGAATAGTTTGCTTCGAAGTCTACCTAATACTTTACTTGGTACTAGAAGTCATTGTTCAGTCATATAAGAAATAAAAGACTACAATGCAGGACTAATCTTTCAAAAAACATCTAGTCCTTCAAGAGCAATCAGCAACACTTGAAACCATTATAAATTTCAATATATTTCTCTAGTCAAATGGATGGTGGTTTATATGCCAGCACAGTAACTCATTATTGGCAGCAGCATAAGGCTACCAGTTAAACAATGACTGCTCTGCTACCTTTTAAAGAATAGGAATTGGTCTTCCATTTGATCTAATGAATTATAGTACACATAAGTAATGGAAAAGCAGTTTCAAAACAAAGGATACTTTTGAAATATCCCATATTACAAAAAAAATAATAATCTTGGAGCATGTGAAGAATTATAAGTAATTTTATTAAATATCCATGAGTAAGTAAAATTTGATTACTAAGAACCAGAAGATCAAAGTTTGAATGTACCAGATGTGCCAATTAACAGTTTTATATATAGACTATGTTCTATATAGATAGATGATTTATCATATACCACAATACTTGAGATGCGTCAAAGGTCACAAAAGTTTTTGACATGCAGAACAGCCAGTTGGAAATTTACACACAGAAATGTATCAGCTGAGTCCTGTGTTATGTAATATAAAGCAGATCTGAACTTAACCATATGAAGTTCAAAGAGAAACACATGTAAAATTAGGAAATGGATTTTTTAGCTTGCAAAAGAGCAACGTATTCTTCTTCAAAACGAAGCAACGAAAATCTATTTCAAAATCCATACTGAGTGTTCCTTTGTAATAATTCATTCATATCATATCAGAGTTGGGAGGCAAAAGGCAGCAATACTCACCCATCATTCCACATGAGAAAAGTGTGGATCCTTGACTCATCTTCTTTGGAGTGTGCTGAAAACAAACATAAGACCTAATCACACATTTTTAAAAATTATGATGAAATCCAGGCCATGCATTGTAACATCTTCACTATGGGAGACTGGCTGTAAATTCAAGTATACAAGAAAAGCTGAAGTGACAATGACAGTCCTAAAAACACACTATTTTGTAGTTTTTACTCATGGTAACGGTTCTTCCTTGAACAATATTCAAAACTGCACAAAAAGCAGTTTTGTGGAAAATCTTAAGTTGTAAATCTATTACAGAAATAGAAGATATAAGATTTGCTCCACTTCAATTTTTTTTCTTTAGAATTATATTGATTGCTTATTTAAAGAAATAATGTTTAAAATTGTATTTTTTTAAAAAAGTATACTACAAAATATTTCTAAATTGATTTCATAGGGCTGGTCTCATCCTTAACTGAACAAAGTTGAAGCAATAAAAATCAAAATTGTTCCATACAGAATGAGAAATAATCTAAATTGTTTTGTTGTAAATCTTTTTAAACTACTCATTTACTATGCCAGTATCATTGCTGTTGGACTCTTCATTTAAAAAAAGAAAAACAGACAGTGTAGGAATCAATAAGAGAAATTTATCCAGTGATTGCAGTAATGGTTCTAAAGTTTAACTAGCTGGCTCGGTTTTTAATAAATCTTGTGCTGTCCCTTCATATTTTGTTCCTCTTTCCCCCTTCTAAATCATTTAATTTGCCAAAAAAGAGGCAATTTATGATAGAAGAAAAGACACTTAAATTTATATTAACAACGTTGTATTTGGGTACAACATTAATGTTGTTAATAAATTTTATCTTTCTTTCTTTTTTTCCCCTGACTCATGTAACATAATGTATCTATTGAGAAATAAGTTTTATTGAACTAAATAGATTGTGTGCTAAGTAAATTCAAGGTTCATACTGTATGCACTAAAAGTTAAACTGGAGTACTATCGAGCAAATAAGTTCCACTAAATTAAAAATGTAACATTTCCAGGAATGTTGAAGCACTAGGAAAATACTGTTTTCTCCCATTTTTTCAAGAGAGAGAGAGAGAAGTTGGGAGGGGTGGAATGAAATATATACAATGCCTATTTTAGCATTCTTTATAGATATAAAGTCACTTTAATTTCATAAAATGCATAACATGTAACTTGGGTTCCTCATAAACATATGTTTGTTGTACAAAACGCTAAAGGGGAGAAGTGGGAAGCCTCAAAATATATTTATTGCCATGAGACGTTATTTAATCAATCTCCGTAGCAATCCCATCCTACATTCACTGACACTCAGCCACATCTGAGTTGCAATTAATGAGGCATGGCTTCGATTATATATGCTGGCACATTATCTAAAACATCTTCGCTTTCTGCTTGTTACAAAACTTGAAATCCTTTTAGAATAAACTAGGAAGGATGGCTAGATAAAGCAGAAGATTACCCACGTCCACCTGAGCTCTTATTAAAGTTTGGAATCTATGAGAAGATAGGTAAAATCCAGGGAAACAAGCAGGACACTTTTGCATCAGGGATACATTTTTCACTAAGGAATATGCTTAGCCATAGAATATAGAATTTTAATTTTAAGTTATTTCTGCATCTTGCTATCCGAGCCTTATATGAGCTGTGGCGGCACAGTGGTTAGAATGCAGTACTGCAGGCTACTTCTGCTGACTGCCAGCTGCCAGCACTTGAGCAGTTTGAGTCTCACCGGCTCAAGGTTGACTCAGCCTTCCATCCTTCCAAGGTTGGTAAAATGAGGAGCCAGATTGTTGGGGGGCAATATGCTGACTCTGTGAACCACTTACAGAGGTCTATAAAGCACTGTGAATTGTTATATAAGTCTAAGTGCTATTGCTAAGTGCTATTGTCTTTGCTGTTCATTTTCTCTATACAAGTTCAGTAATGTGTCATGCAACTTGGCACCTTTACAGAAGAGTTGCTTCCCAAATACAAGCATACCAACATCATACAGAATTTCCCTTTTTCCCATACCTGGGAGATCTTCTTAAAGCACAGCTGTGATTTGAACAGTTCTATCTTTTTACTTTCTTTACCACTGAATATTTTACATGTGACAAACATCTAAAATGAAAATATGTTTATGTTCTTTTTTAAAAATGAAGTTTAATTTTATTCATCTCTTGTGAGATTGGTCTTTCTACCAAAGAGAAGTGGAAACAGCTCATTATCTTAGCCAGATACCTCAGAACCACAGGGCCAGGATGATGCTGTAGCATTTATTTCATTTATTTCTCTTCTTCCTTTTCATTTTAAATTTGCCAGCAAAGTAACTCAGATAGCAGGAGCCCTATCTCTCTCACAAAACAGGTTAAGGGAAGGATACAAGTTTATTTATTTATTTAGTGTATGACAAATACATGGACTTATAGTAGTTCAGACAGCTCTTGATGGATATGTATGTTCATACCAGTGGTGGGTTGCTACCGGTTTGCCCTGGATTGGGCAAACTGGTAGGGGTGACGGCGGCAGGTTCTACCCGGACGTCTCTCCGCATGCGCAGAAGCATCGTGGGTGCACCCACGAGTGAACCAGTAGCGAACAAAATTGAAACCCACTACTGGTTCATACACATACCAGAAGACACACCAACTCAGGAAGTGTAGCTGGGTTGTTTGGATTTAAAGGGCTTCTGGAAAAGGAAGCTGACACTGCCACCCTTTTACCTTACAGGTTCAACTCTTATTTCATAAATCTTGCATACTAACAGTTTTTCAAATCCTATCTTTATTATTTAATATATTTATAACATTTTGACAAAAAAATATTTGCCAATATTGAAATAAATTTCTCTACTCATTTGTCTTTAGTTTCTTTCCTGATCTCGTATAAGTATTTCAAAATTCAGAAATTTGTTTTATAACTTAATAACCATGTTATTAAGCATTGTTTAAAATTAACACAGTAGGGTATTTTCCATAATCATTTTTCACTACATTGAAAAACTGCAATCCTTTTAATTTTATGGTATATTATAAAGAAAAACAACAAAACAACAATAAAAACTCTGGGGTTTTCTTAATTTTTTTCACTTTTTCTGGCCCTTACTTTCAAAATCTACATTTATCACTTCTTCATAAGGCAAAGCTTAGGTCCAAGAACAAGATGAAAATGAGGAAATGAGACATTTTAAGATAGACATTTCTGTCTGTCTTAACTGCAATTTCATTTCATAATGATTAAACCATTCATCAAAATCAGGAAGTAAAGGAGTATGTTATTCATCATTTACAATACTTCTCTTACAATAAGGAAAAAAATTATTTTCTGAATTTCTACTCAGATAACTTGATCCATATACTTTGTGAACAGTAAGATGTTTTTCTGTTTATCTACACCTGCTTTGCAAAAATTTTCTTGGATGCCAGGAAATAACATATTATTGCTATGTTAAAACATGCAAGACACTTATTATTCATCAAAATATGGTGTCTAAAAAAAAGAAGCCAAACAAAAAATTGGCATTAAATCCCTATTTCTATGCTGAGAATAAAATAAGGGAGGATATGTGTATACACAACTACATGCAAGAGATTAATTATTATGTGAGAACACAAACAATGAAGGAATATACATAGAATTACTGTGGAATTGGAATTATTTGGTGAAAGGTGATGTTCTCTAGAGATCTAATTATGTTGACTGATATTTTGAAAACTAATCCATATTAATGAATAGTATGGTAGAAGAGATTTAAATTTAAAATTGGGATGTATTTTATTATTTTTAAAATAGACAGATTTTTATCACATCACAGTTTTAGGGAGTTCCCAGTTAACGATGATAATGGGACTAGAATTTCCATCACTAAACAAAGTGGTCATGAAGTGAGTTACAGATTGCAATCCCAGCAGTCCTCTTTGCCATCGTTAAGCAAGGTTTGTGGGTTGTTAAATGAGGCATTCCTTGCAACTTCCTGCCAACTGCCCATAATCAAAGTCATGGAGAAGCAATCAGGAAGTTGCCTTGACTTGCAAGCAAGCCAGCAAGAAGAGAAGTAGCTGCTGTTGGGTAGGGGGAGGGTGCACAAAGGTTGTGCAAAGGGACATTGTAGAGTGGCGCAGGGTGTGTGAAAGTGTGGGGGGAGCCCATGCAACATGAGCACAGTGTTCTTGGAGGCTTGGAGTGGCTGTTGAGACTTACCCAGGCAACTTGTGATCTTCCCTGCCTGCTTGTCCTCTGACTTGGCTTGGTTGGCAGAGAAGGTCACAAATGATGAATATGTGACCTTGGGACACTGTAGCCATCTTGTAAGCTGGTTGCCAAGTGCCCAGAACATGTTCACATGACTGCAGGGGTCCTATAATAGCTGGAAGCTCAAGGACCAGTTGTTAACTATGCATTTGTTATTGAGATCTACCTATAACACATCACAGCAGCCTTGGCTTTCTGCAAGTCTCTCCTTGCTGCTTTGCATGTGAAGAAACAAATTACAAGGGTCTCTTGGTAATTTGCCATAAAGGTCAGTTTCCTGCTTCAGTATAATTTAAAGGAAACATATTACAGTTTGCACATATCTTGTTAACCACTGTATCAAAATTGCAATGTGATCCTAATGTCTTATTTGTTAACTGATTATAATTTGCACAAACTATGATTTCTGGCATCTTCCATGTGTAACGGAAACTTCAATTTATTACAACATGAAACATCTGCAGATGAAAGGAAAGAGAGGGATGTGGAATGGGTGGCATTTAAGGCAACATTTGTACATGATTATCTTTTCTCTCTTTTTTCTTTAATGCCATAACTCATAGTAGCAAAAATTACTAGTTTGCTTTTAGATTACAATGGTGAAATTGCAGGCAATCCCTTGGGAAGCTTCAACCAGCCCCTGCAAGCACCAGCAAGCATTACTAGGCATTCCAAGACAGCTTTATAAAGACAGTGCTGTGTTCAGAGAGAAGCAAAGCAGGAGGAAAGGTTTGCTGGAGAGGCTGGCTCTGAGAAGAAGACAGCAAAAGATGAAAGGTTGGTGAAAGGCAGCTGGCCAAACAAATATGGGATGGACTGGGCTGGGCTGGGCAGCAAATGAATGCTTGCTGGCATTTGCTGGCCAGGGAGCCACATGGGGTTGGGAGAGAAGGCAGCTGGGCAAATGAATGCTTGCTGGGGGCAGGCTGGCGTGCCTCCCAGGATATAGCAAGCAGCCCTACAGCCAAACAATTCTGGGGCTGCTTGCTGCCCCATAAGGCAAAATGTAGGATGGCCAAATGGGCATAGATGGGGAGGAAGTAGGAGGAGGAACTAGTAGGTGGTGGTGCAGGCAGTCCTGACCTTATTGAGGCTTGGTGTTCGGGAACCAAACCCACAATGGCTTGGAGGTAGCTGCTTAACGGCCCATATATTCTTGGTTAATTACCCAATGGGGAATGCTGGGAGTGCTGCTGTAAATCGGTGCAGTCACATAATGTCTCACTTTATGAACACATCAATTTGTGGCAGCAATCCCAGTCCCAGTTATGGTTGTAAGTTGAGGGCTGCCTATATGGGCAAGGCAATACTGTTTTCTAAATGTGATATTGCATGGTATGGGAGCAGCTCTGTAGTGGACAAAAAAGCTCTACAGAGAATTATTAAAACTGCCCAGAATATCATCAGACTCTAGCTACCAGCCCTGGACGACATCTTTGAATCTCACTGTTTGAGAAAGTTGCATAACATTCTCAGAGACTCTTCCCATCCTGCTTACAATCTTTTTGGACTGTTGCCTTCTGGCAGAAGATACAGAACAATTAAAACTCAGACCACACGTTTTCTGAATAGTTTTTATCCCAAAGCTATAATTGCACTCAAGAATGAACTAAAGGGCCACCATGAGTGAGTTGTTGGACAGTACTACTTGGTCTGTTGTGTGGATGTTTGGGTGGTTTAGGGGTGGAGAATTGTGGTGGGTGGGAGTGTGTTTGGGGATTGTTGTGTGTGTTGGACCTGGTCTTTAGGTGTTAAGTGAATTTCGTTGTATGGGTATACTGTGTATACACGTACAATGACAATAAAGTTATTTAATATTTTAATATTGGGCATACAAAACTCTTCTTGTTTGCTCATTATTATGCTCACATTGGTTTAGAGCCACACAATCAATATAGTTCCACATGTTGCAGTCTAAAATGGGAGCAGAGCCCTGTAATCTGAGAGACATAAACGCTAGTATATAAGCTAAGCCATCAGGGTGACATGAACTCTTACCAGTTCAGTCCTGCATGATAGAGAATCAGCACCTTTGTTTTCCAGAGTTGTAGTAGTTAAGATCATCACCATGGTAACAAAGTCATGAACTCGGGTCCATTCCAGTAGAGGTAAAGGTCACAATTGGCCATATTAGGCAGAATCTCCCATTCAGTGCATTTTTCCAGATGAAAGGATCAATAGCACCAATTCCCATCTGTTTTGTCAACTGGACAGCTTGACAAAAAGTAGTCCAAAATATTCACTTTCTGGAAGGAGAAGTGGGGGAGATAAAATACAAATACTCTGTAGTTATTCTTCAATTCCACAAATCATTGCACAAACTTTATATCTTTTGTGGGAAGTTTGCCCTTGCTCTTGCAATAAATCTGACAAGTCCTTGCATTTCTCATGTGTACCAGAGAAGAACACAGTGACCATAGGATTAAATTATACCTGCAGGAAGAACAGACAAACCCTTTCCTTCCTATTTGAACTTTGCAGTTGCAAGAGACAGACTGTTAATTAAGGAGGACAGTGAGTAAATGGGGAGCAGTACAGTTCTGGCAGCAATCAGTGAAGTAAGAAGAAAAGAAAGCTGTATATGCTGGCAACCCAGAAGGAAGAATCACAAGCAGGGGCTAAATAATTCTAAGTTACCTCTAAATTCTAACTTTTAAACAAGGAGCTGTAAATATGTGTGTGTGTATGTATACACACACACACACACACACACACATATATACATATGCTTTAGAAATCAGACTATTGAAACATGAAATACAGTCATTACAAATGGCTCCAGCTATAGGAAATAGTCACACACACACACACACAAATAAATCAAGGGCCCTGCTATGAAAGACACCTGTATGAAAGTGTGCTTCCACAGATAAGCAGGTATTCGTGCCCCAACTCAAGCCATCTCAAAGGTAATGAAACATTTTTGTGTCGTAGTATATACTAAGCAAAAGAATATATTTTATTTCACATGTCTTGGATTAATAGTTGATAGTGAGTTGAGAGGAAAATAGGGATTCCTCATTGTGTAGAACAGCCTATTGGTTTTTCAATTTGCACACTGATTTGCATAACAAAGGTACATATGCTATATTCTGAGTCTATGGAATTAGATAAAATAGAATAGAATTCTTTATTGGCCAAATGTGATTAGACACACAAGGAATTTGTCTCTGATGCATAAGCTCTCAGTGTACATAAAACAATAGTGATGGATCATTATTATAGTCAATGTAAAAATACATTCATCATAAAACATTAGATACAACACTTAGTGATAGCCATGGATACTAAATAAGCAATCAATATAAATCATACTAGGACACTAAATAAACAATATAAATCGTAAGATAAAAGCAACAGAGTTATAGTCGTAAGAAGAAAAGGAGATATATAATAGGGAAGATTAGAATAATGATGGTAATACTGCCTTTCTAGATAGTTTGATAGTGTTGTGGGAATTAGTTGTTTAGCAGAGGGATGGCATGGGGGGAAACTCTCCTTATGTCGAGTTGTTCTGACGTGCAGTGCTCTATAGCATCGTTTTTGAGGGTAGAAGTTGAAACAGTAACAACAAAACTATCAGAGCATTTCACCGAGGCTGCCATTGGCGGTGCAATCTTGATGAGAAGAGCTATCTTATCTTATCTAAACTTCAGAAAAGATAAGATAACCTTTATTGTCATCTTTTTCTGTGGGACTCTGGCACACATTAAAAATGAAATTCTGTTGCTTACTCTCAAAAGTATATACATACCTAACACACATATAGATATGCTATAAATATACATATGTATATACTTACACACTAACATATAAATACATATAAATATTAATCACTGTCCATCTTGAATACAAAGCGGAAGGAAGAAACTTGAGAGTTCACAAGGTTGATACTGTATACAATTAAAAGCATTGGCTTTAGAGAACAGCATGAGAAGACACATCAGCAATACTTACATGCATTAGGGAGATTTCTGCAGTACTGATTTATGGGTAGCTGTTTTACAGTGAGAAATAAGATACAGAGAGAGATATAGCTAGGATAAGAAGGAATTTCCTGACTCTGGGAGCCATTAAGCAGTGAAACATCCTGCCTCCTGAAGTGCTGTGTGCTCCATCAGCAGAGCTTTTGATAAAAGATTGGATAGCCGTTTGTATGGAACAGTATGTGGATTCCTGCACTGGACAGGAGATTGGCTAGAAGACTCTTCCAGAATTACTTCCAAGCCTGTGCTTTCATGATCTACATCTCTGTAGTACTAGCCTGGTTCTTACACAAAACAACAACACAGCTTGCTTTGCATTATACAAATGCACCCCTAGGATATACGTGCCCTTTACTTGGCAACAAATTACTATTTGAAGCTATAGTTTAGTCATTTACAAATCCTAATTTATTTTAATCTTAGCTTGTTATTGCATCTGAATTCAAAATTCTGAACTTTTGTTTGGTGCCACATCCATTCCTTTTGGTTCTTCTTGGCAGAACAAATGAGAATTGGCCAAACAAGCTATGATTACTTTGTTAAGTGGCTTGCTTAAAAAGTTAGAGTTAAAACATACACATATTCTGACAATATTATACTTCAATCCTATCACACGTATCAACATATTTAATCGAGGTCCAGCAGGATGATTCTCCTTTGGAATGAAATTAGAAGTTGAATAACTATTTTGTAATTCATGAATTTGTTTACACAAGATGCCTTCAAACTGAAATTCAAACAACTAAACTACATTTATATGAACTACAAGTAGAACAGGAAAGCAGTCATATAGGCAAGAAAGTATTTTTTTCAGCTTGTGGGAGACCCAGCAGCTAAATATTTAAATACAAAAATGAACAGATTACAAATAAGATTAATTTGAAAATAATTTTCCAACATAACTCCATAATCCTGTTTAAAATGCAATATAAAGAAAAGGGGAAAAGTCATTACCTAAAACACACTAAACGTTTATTCTCTAAAATGCAATTAAATTCAAGCAGTCTTATATAATGGAATGGAATGATTAGTATTAGAACTCAGTAAGAGCCAAAATTAATTCTCCTCTCAGCTTATAAATCATATTCTTCTTGTTTATTTGTATTTGAATGCACAAGTAAGTGCCATTATGAATATTCACTTAAATGTCAGTCGGATAGTAAAGAAAAATTGTCTACTCTTTCTTTGATCAGAACTAGGTTCCTCTAGAGAACTATGAAAGGAATAAAATCAATACATTTTCTCAGTATTTACTATAGAAAAAAATGAAATATGATGGACTTTGATCTTTGTGAGTATAATCAAATACAGTTTGCTCTGTACCTTAGCCCTGTACCAAGGCTAAGAGGAAAGTAATGAGTTGAAAATGAGTTGAAATGGCTAACAGTAATTTCTGAGAAATTCAATCTGAGAACTGGAGCAGGTCTAGATATATTTTCAGACTGCCTATTTGCTCTTAAAGAATAAGCACCTTTCATATCTTAGATGTCTCAGAAAGTTAACACAAAGAACAAGGGTTAGAGGCCATCTTTTTTCAAGCAGAAACACTTCAGACTGATTAAGAATTCCTTTGAATGTTACAAGAAACAGTAATTAGCTATGCTGCTTTTGTGTGTGTCTCAGTATCTCGCTGTACAATCAATTCTTGATTATAATCTGAATTGGACCAAATAATGAATGATGAATTGGACTTTAAAATCTTACAAAATTTCATTGAACTTCCTTTCATACATGGAGTGATAGGAAAAGAGGTTTGCCTGGTAGCAACTACTTCAATGATACTGCAAAATAGACAGAAAGGAATATCTAGATAATGGGGGAAAACCCTACTAATTTTTATTTAAATAGAAATAAATAGCTATAGATGCTGTACATATGCAAGGCCTTAGAAGCTCAAAAAGTAGAAATATTACTGCCTGGTGAGACAAAGACAGAAGAAAGAATGGAAAGAGAGAAAAAACATATAAAAGTAGAAAGAGAAAGAAGTATAATGAGAGATTAGAGCTAAGCAAAGGGAAAAATAGAATTATTAGCAGCAAGCAGATTTTGCCAAATAAAATTATCTTGGTAACTTATAACACTTACTGAAGATAAAAACCTGTAACTATGATTTATAAAAAACTACCAGTAAAAATCTCATGAAAATGGAAGAAATGTCCTGATGCCACTATAGCTCACAGCATCCTCCTTAGTGGTTTTTCTGGCATGAGCTACTAAGACCAGATATAATTTTCCACATTTGTTTTTAACAACAACTATGGATTGTCTTTAACTATAGCATAATTCTTACACTCAAAGTTCTTCTTAATATGAAAAAGTGTCTTGATTGTATGTTAAGTGTAGTGGTCAACATTTATGTTGTACACTTTTTTTCCCCCAGAGAAGGACAGTTTTTTTTGTTTTTTTTTAAATTTGATTTATATGCCGCCCTTCTCCGGAGACTCAGGGCGGCTTACAATGCGCTAAGCAGTTTTAAGAGAAAATGTGAACAGCTTGAATTAGCCTTCAAAAAAGCTTTCAAAGAAAAATAAATAGGCAGTGGTGATATTCCTAAATAATTAATACAGAATAAAATACTGTATATCAGTAATTCTTTTTCAGAATATTCTCATTCTATCTGTGCCCTGCACAAACCAAATAAAATAAAACTAGTAAACCGTGGGTCAACGGAAGAAAAAATAGTCGATTTTCCTACTGTTTTGTTCCAATTGTCACTCCTGCAGTTATAATTATAAATACTACATGCAGACATAAAGCCTAGTACTGCCAAATGCCTATTTAACATGAACTTTTATACTACCATTTTGCCAATATTAAAATTTCTTTTCCACTCAGCACTTTTATTTTTGAAAAAAGAGTGCAGCTTCAATGCATATCCAGTGCTGCATTACTTGATATTTGTACCTATCAGAAATGTTCACCATTAGGAGGTGGCAGCTCCACATGCTTGGTGGCCAATATCTCCTGCAGCAAGATAGAGGCGATGAGAAAGTGACCTCTGTAAGACCTCTTGCTCGACCTCATTCCTACAGGCTAAAGCTACCAAGCTAGTGACCCCAAAGAGTCCTGAACCTTGACACAAAACCAAGAAAGTTGAGTTTCTGATTGGTTAAATTCACAAAAGCAGAAACATACACGAACTAGTGTTACTAAGCCAGCGACCTTCCAATGCCCTCTCCCATGACATTTTATTGACAAGCAAAGGGTCCTGAATCATTCACCTCCCAGAGCATCCAGAACATTAATTTAGCCAGCCAGTG